AAAAAAATTAATAAAGTGCACAAGAGGAATACGGATATTGATTATTACATTAGTTCTTTAATGGCATACAATCTCTAGTTTCATTGTCTGAAAATTTTATGGTGTTGATTGAGAATTATAGCTAAAGAGACTTCTGGAAGACTGAACAATGAGTTGTTAGTCCTGGGCATAAACTGAACAATGAACAGTTACAATTTATATGCTTTAATATTTTGTCATGTTTTGTTCTTATTTATTGTTTTGTTACAAAATATACTTTTTACTTACTGAAAATGGTGAAAATTTAATAAGCGCCCAGCCTCGAATAAGCGCCCACCTTGAATGAGCGCCCACCCTGAAAGTCCAAAAATTAAATAAGCACCCTGGGTGCTTAATCGTATAAATACGGCAACTTTGTGTTAAAAATGGAAGAAGGCTGTTTGTAAAGAAAACAATGCTCAGTAAAGTCTTGGCTGTAATGTGTGATTTTCACAGTGAACTTGGTTTTAATCAAAGTGAGGCAAGCGTTTATTTTAAAGATAATAAAAAATATATTTCAACTTTGATTCGTGTACTGCTGGAAGGATGAGGGTAAAACAGTCCTTGCAGTAGCGGATTTACTAAACGGATCATGGGGGTTTCTAGAGACTAAGTATTCCCTCTCAAAGTTCAGCCCCTGCTAACTCCACCTTCCAGGATATCAGGATCTGCAATTTTTTTTTTTTAATTTGCTTGGTGGAATCGACACGAGATCGTGGTATGGAAATCGAAAACAACAACAAAAAAACAAGAACAAATTGATATCGTTTTTTCACCGCGTTTTAGCCATCTGAAAACGAGAAATACTTTTTTTCCGGTTGGGTCAAAAACCTCGAAGGGGTCGGCGGTTGAGGACCCGGGATGACGTCAAAACAAGAACGCAGATCTGCAAATCTTTCGAAAATGTTTACAATTTTGAACCAAAATTGGAATTACACTTGATCGCGATATTCCTATTACATTTCACGTATTTTTTTCGTTTCTATTTGTTTGGTTTGAAAAATATGTCGATCTACGTTCTTCAGACGTCAGCATGACTAGTTCCTGGTCCGAACAGCAGGCGGTTTCTGACCCATCCGGAAGTCAAATTTAGCGTTTCCAGATGGTTAAAACGCGATGAAAAAAAAACGGTATCCGTGTTTGTTTGTTTGTTTGTTTCTTCTTTTTTTTTTTTCGATTTCCACATCACGATCTCGTGTAGATTCCATAAAGCAAATAAAAAAATATCACTTTTTAAAATTGTACTGTCCAACCCGCCTTGTGAATACCTAATCAATACCGGCATTTTCCGTCAGTATGGGCCCTGCGGTGTGAAACGGGATTTGACGGTACCCGAGCTACAAACATAGCGAATGATCCGGACATTGTACAATTTCTCCTACTGAGCCAGTTATGCAAGAGTTGTGCTAACCTCGGAACCCTAACCTACAATCATACCCTCCTTCGCTACATTTGAAAAAACACCTGATCGCAGGTTGCGGAGACTCCATCTAAACCCTCCATCTAGCCTGCAGAACAGGCGGATTAGCGGGACAGAGAGCAAAACGCGATACACGAACGCTCATGTATAACGTTTCACTCTCCCGCCTGTTCTGCAGGCTACGAGAATGCGAGGACCCAGGAGCAATTAGTGAGAGCGAGGAAAAGTCAAAACAACGACTGCTAGGAAACTTGAAACGTCCTACAGCCGAAACTGAAAATTTTTTTCACCTATTCTACAGATACAACCGCGTGTCCGCTTTTCCAATTTACTGGCTTTGCTATCTTCATTTTCGACTGGAGTATTCGAAAGCCGGGAAAAAGAAATTGTCTGCTTTAGTTTACACCATATACCTGAAACGACTGAGCAGACTTTCACAACGGTTAAAACAGCAACAAGGGATGAAGAATTCCTGAAGCTAGAAAAGCAACAAACGCCGGAAATTGATTTTCGTTCATTAAAAAAAGTGCAAATAAGAAAGACGTTTTAAAGTAAAAATACTACTTAATACTACTTAAATGCGTTTCTTCCTTGCGATTTCAACAAAATATTGAAAACTTTAAGCCCGTTCAGTCTAACCAAGTCGTCTGTAAACACAAACTTTATTTAAATAATTTAATTTCGCCCTTTAAACCGGTAGACGGTAGCGTGGCCGAGTGGTCTAAGGCGCTGGTTTTAGGCACCAGTCATTTCGATGGCGTGGGTTCGAATCCCACCGCTGCCACTAATTTTTTTTCCCTCCTTTTTTTCCAGTTAGTTCTCATGTCTTTTATATCCTATTTTATTTTACTTTATTTTGCTTTATATTGAATTCGCAAATCTCTTTTGATGAGTTCCACTGTGCGTGATTACTAAGCCCAATTGAAGTCAATTCGAACCGAAGGTAACGGGGGTTTAATACAATCACATGACAATTTCGAACAGCTTCGGTTTCCACAAGAGTATTGTTGGGATTGTTCATTTCCTACCGCTACCCCCCCCAACCCCCCCCCCCCTTTTCAACAAAAACCAAATCATCGCCATAAATTAGTTTAAAACAAAAACCGAAATTTGGGGAGTCCATTTTAATATCTTCGTCGTGATCGATTGGAGTGTTACAGAACTCTTGAGTCCATTTTGTCTGTCTACGACGCCATTTCTTCTTCGTCTTCTTGCTTTTCTTCAGACACTGTTTCTTCATGAATGTCAGGAAGTTTCGTAGCAATCACATTCAAAAGTTCTTCGATTTCTTGGTCGGTTTTCAGACGCTCCTCGCTGTCTTCGATGATCTAATTACAAAATTGAAAAAAAAAACAACAACGATAAGACAAACAAATTATACAGGTAATTTAACGGCTGAGTACTTTCACAAAAAAAAATAAAACAAAAGATCATTGTGATATAAACAAGACTAAAATCAAGTTGTTGATCTAATTGCTTGCCATAACCTATAGGATTGGAAAAATAATGACTGTACAAGGTATAACCGAACAGCCCAAAAATAGTGCAAAGGAATCAGAAGGACTATAAAGAATCAGTTGGGTAAAACTTACCAGTTGAATTTCAACTGGTGTTGTTGGTCTCAGGTTCAAAAGTTGAAGCTTCTCCACTCTGTTAAAAAAATTGATAATAATATAAACCTCAAAACAGAATTATAACAAGGATGCATGAACACAAATTGACCATTCTTTCATTTTATAAACTGGTAGATGCAAACCTTGTCAAGTTAAATGGTTGTATAGCTTTGAGGAATTCTTCAATTATCTCAGGACTCTGACAAAGAATATCAACAGGTCACAAACTACATTTAAACAATAATGCAGAAAAAAATATATTTCTTTCTATTACAAGGCCTTAAATAGTAACACTACTTCAACATCTATTTTATTATTTATTTTTATTTCAGTCAAATAATGATGCTGAAACTTCCCAAAATACAACTCAAGACAATAGAAATCCCAATCTCCACAAGAAACATTATTAATATAAATTAGATGAAGGTATGCATTCTGGACCTATTATGAGGTCAACATTATCTAATAAATCAATCAATCAATCAATCAATCAATCAATCAATCAATCAATCATTTTTATTTCTCAAGTTACATTTTACAGTTGGACTGGCCTGCAGAAAGCTAGTGCTAGTCTAGGCAGGCCAGTCTATCAAGATAAAGCTCATAACAAAATTATTCAAGAACCTGATGTCTTACATGTTATTTTCTTTTCAGTGAGACCCACTGAATAAGCACTTTGTTCCTAATTAGTGACCCCCTATGAATGTGTGTTTATAAGCTCCCCAATTCAAAAAATAGACCCTACGCCAACATGCACTCCTGCCATGGATACACTCCTAAACCAAAAGCCACTCTATTCTGTTTCCAGTATAGTGATGGTTCTCTGTTGGCCAAATTGACAGCTTAATAGGGTTCCACTGTGCTTTGTCTCACCTGGCTTTTACAAGGGGTTTTCTCTAGATGTTTTTGAGCCTATGAAAGGAACATAATACCTCAATCAGAACTTAAAGAACATAAGTTAGTCTGAGTCAAATTTAAAGAGGCCCTATTCAAAATGTTTTTGTGCTAGCCTCATAACAAATTGTTGACAGGTTGACAAGGTGTTTCTGTCGTTTCTTTGACTTGTCTCCTTTATTTTGGTTGACTGTCTCTTGGAGCAACTGAAACACCTGCAAAATTTTAAAAACAAAACATTAATGAGCAGGCTTAGTGGTAGGGCATTCTAACACATTGCATTAAGTCTCTGGTACACAAGGTAATCTATTTCAAAAGGTAATTAAATAAAAGTTGTGGAACAATTTTTTGAAACTTTCCCTGAATATCCACTACCAAGCACTGTTCCAAAAAACACAAAAAAGATAGGTCACCATGCTTGAAAAAAGAGATATGAAGGGCCTATCGTACCCAATTTATGCCTAATCACGGGTGTCCTTTTGTTGGTTTACATTACATTTTGCGGTTGCTGGAAGCAAAGTTTTTGAAAGAAATACTCATTTAAGAGAAAATGAGCCTTAATTTTGCTGTCAAGCTTGGCTTGTCAATGGAAGCTCTTGATTTTGTGTATCATATCTTATGTACATGCCAGTGAGCACACTGTAATCCAGGGTGCATTCCGTAAGACTTCCTAAATTTTTAGGCCACGCCAAAGATCTTCAGCATAACCAACACTGAATTCACCCTGGGTTCTAATTACACAAAAATTGTGCACAGCTTGAATGTACAATACAATTTCAAGGAATCGTCTTAATTTTACCCATGCCAATTTTACCTCATAATTACTCAGCATGGCAGCCTTCTCATTGATACTGTAAATTAAAATAAAAAAAAATATTTGTATAAGTTTCAATCTGTAAGCCCAGCATCATTAATTTCCACGACATTTCGAGCAATCTTACATGGGTAATATTTTTAAACACTGAGTAGATTGTTTGAAAGATGCGACATGACGGATGGGCAACATCAATCTACTTCATAAGGGGTCGTCAGGAGGTTTAGGTACCCTCACGAAAAATTGGCAGTCCCGCAGATTTCGATTGTTTTTGTTTTATTTTTTTGGTTGGCAATTCTGCAGTTAGCCTAAGTAACACTACCTCGACAGTGGTTAGTTCTCAATAATAGTAAGGGATATAAGTTTACTATATGTAAAGACTGGTTACGTACATATCGCTCATAGTTACGCCGGTTATGTCACTGGATCATACAGTAAAAAATGTTTATACTTACACTTCCATTTTCTCGACGCTTTGTTACTGAGTCTTCAGTCTCATTTTTAGGTCGCTTCGAACAAGCACAAATTCTCCATTCAACATCTCTGGAAGACCGCCATTTTGAAATGATGGGAGAACTCACTCCAGTCCTTGCGCGACTCCTTGCGCGGAGTTCACGGACGTTATGGACGATAAAGATGCCGAATAAATCTTCCAGTTGATCTTTGTAATCGATCGCTTTACGTGTCTATGTCTGGCTTGCCCGGCTTGGCTTGCTCTCCACAGCCCCTATTACTCCAGCGGCATTATAACTTGTCTTCAGACCCACCTCTGATCGAGCAGATCAACTGGAGACTTTTTTACTTCAAACCAGCATTGAATATGAAGTAAATGAAATCTTAGCCCATGAATCTGACCAATCAAATCAGCAGTTCTACAACATCATTCTTAGGGCTCTTTCTGACTGCTTTTTATCTGAAAAAACTGTCATTGCAGGAGTTTTCCAGACATAGAAGCTGGAAGATGAATGATACTGTTCACGCTAAGATGTGAACGCCCTCGTCGAGTTCGTTACGTGTTTATCACTCCTTGTATAGAGATAGCCAACCAGACTGATCTCAAATGCCAAAGACATATGTATTGTACCGGCCACGCTAGATG